AACCTTGTAGTTCACACCTTTTCTAATAGCTATATTTTCTTTTTGTTCTCAGAGTACTGAGTGTGTACCTGATTGTTGTGAGAATAAACAGAGATAATTTATATCTAAACAATCTGAATGGGTATGAGCATACAACATATTTTAAATTGGAATTAATCATTGAAAAAAGATCCAAGTCATTCACCCAGAGACTTTTTTGATACAGATTTGAGGTTTTATCTCCATACAGTCTACCCATGCAGACTATGTGTAGGTCTCTATAGAATTTGTAGCCCCCTATAGGCATGCCAGTAGTAGGCTTCCACTCTTTTTTTGATGGGAAAGAGTATATAGAAGACTCACTGGGGGGGAAGAGAGAGGAATGAGGAAAAATAGGGATGAATAAGAAAAATATTTCCCTTTGAAATGATATGGTATAAAATCATGCTCTGAATATAAACTCTGATGGAAATAAATAAAAATCGTTAAAAATAAAAGGTAGGAAATTTTTGAGAGAAAAAAAAATGCTGTTCAACAGATAGTCACTAAATCATGTTCAATAAATGCCCTGGTACATGATCTGATTTTTTCTTAAGTAATTATGTAGTTGTCTCTAATATACTCTAACTTTGATTTTAATGATTAAGGTTTTCCAGAAGCTTTTTAAAGCAAATATTCAGAGTTTTATCCAGTGGGTTTTTATTTGACTACAGACTAGCAGCCAGTTTCCAGCAAAATGCACTCGCAGATAAGTAGCTGCAAACCAGGCCCCACAGCAAGGTGTATATTACAAAGTGTGTTGACCGTGGACAGATGATTATAAAGTTGAAGCTATTACTGTTTATTGCTTTGATGTGCTACAAGGGAAGAAGAGATGTGTGATTTTTCGTATTAACAGTCTTAATTAACTTTTAATTGATTTTTAGGATGATAAATGGATTCACACATTGATCTCCTTGGAAGGATACTAAACATCAATGCAAACTTCTTGACAGAACTGCTGATGATAAGGGATTTTGTGTTTGATTATCTTGCCTAATATATACATACTCATCTGTAATAGGAAAGAAATGAAATTAGCTTGATTAGCCAGATCATGTCACCTAACTTACATGTCCCTGTTAATGCTCCTTAATTAAGAGAAAAGGAAGAAAATAGCTCTCTTTTCACAAACATTCTGGTTTCATTGTCTAGGTAGGTGTAGGTCTGCGTTTCCTTAAAATGTTTAGAGCATTTTCCAACAAAATGTTATTGGTATTTATTCCAAGAGGACTAAATATAGTTCTATTTGTGGAGACAAGGCATTCAGTGAATTAAGTTGTGGGAAATCAGATAAAAATGTGTGTGTGTAGTTGTGTATGTGTGTGCACTTAACTTTGAATGTGTTATGCCATTTCAACTGACTAAAAATTATGAAACTCTACTGATGAGGATGCCCCATCTCACATTTATTTCCAATCCATCTTTTAAATATGTGTTTGGACAGTTCTCTCAACAAATCACCCCATTGTAAAATAGAGATAGCTATGTATTTGATCATTTAAATATGTAAAAAGTTTTGAAAATGTTGTTATTCTAAAACCATGTATGGTAAACTCAAAGATATATAAGAAAGCATTTGTCAAGTGTACAATTCTGATTAATAAAATGAACTCTAAATGCTAGAATTTTTTCTAGAAGAAGTGAAATTGGGATTTCAAGAATGGATACATGATTAGAATTTCATAGGTGAGTAAAGTCATTCTAGAGAGGTCTGAAATAAATGTCAAAAAGTATATGCTGAATCCTAGGGAAACGTGGAAAACTGATTAGACTTGAGCAGAGGCAGAGAGTTCACACAGCAAAGTGAATAATATGCAATGCTGAAAATATAGGTTAGAATAAAATTATACATAAAAGTTTAGATTTGGGTTTCTTTCTATAGGTTGATCTGTTGAAATGAGGCTGTATTTCTATACTTAAGATTTCTAAATCTGGTGCATACGGTATTCCCTTTGAGAACATCACCTTGTTCATTAAAATATTGATGGTACTTGAGAAGTTCTGAAGTAATGAAACATTTTAAATTCCCTTTATTTTTAATTTCTAAACTTTATGTATTTGAGCATTCACCATCTTAACCTGCATATCCTCTAGTTATTATTCTATAAAATATTTAAAATACACAGATAATCCCTTGTTTTGATCACACTTTTGTTTTGATCATGACAAAATACCGCTGTGCACTCTTAATAATGCTATTTTTCAGTATAGACCAATAATCAGTAGTAATGCTAAGATTATCAGAGTCCCAGATGCCATTCTAATAATTCCAGCATTTGCTCTGAAATTCTTGATCAAAAATCATACAGAATGATAAGACAATAAATTTAAACTAAAATAAAGCCAAAAAGCAGGTATAAAATGAATAACATAATTTTAAGTATTCTTAGATACTTAAATAGCAGTGTCAATGCATTCATTTATTTGCTAATATGTATAATTCATTTGTGCACTTAAATATTGAATGTATGCCTATTATGTATACAGAAACTATAGTAGGCACTGAGAATTTAGTGAGGGGGAAAAAAGAAAAGCAAAAATCCCAGACCATACCTTAATGGCTCACATTGCGAAAAGGGAGACAAATATTAAATAATCACAGTGATAAATAAAAGTGGCATAGATGACAGGTATATAAAGCTCTGACATGTGTAACAGGAGGTTCTAATTTCCACTTCAGAAGTCAGGAAGAACTGCTTTGAGGAAGTGATGTTAGATTGACACTTGAAAGATGAGTGTGTATTAGCCTGGTGAATAAGAGCAGATGCCCGTAGGCAGGGGCTTCTGGAGAAGTTTGGAGGTTAGAGAGGTTTGCAATATTCTGGAAATCAGCATTTAATATGGAGCTTCCAGGCTATGATAAAGATTTAAATATTTCCCAAGGCAATGGAAATCATTGAAGGAAATTAAGCAGAGGATTGGTGTCATTACTTTATCTTTTATAAAAATATATATCTGAAGAGAAAGAACTGGGGAAAAAAATTAAGAAGTAATTTAGCAATCTAAGCCACAATGGATGATAGCTGGGCCCAGTGTGATTGGGCTTGAGATATTTTACACTAGTAGAAGCATAGTATGGATAGATAGAGATTTTTCTGTGAATGCCATTATAGCTTGGACCTTGTTATTTAATACAACACATATCTCACAGCCTGTAGCTGAGCTTCATACCCTGTATGAGATGCAATGAAAGAAGAAAGAGGAGAGATTCAGAAGTGTGAGAGGGACTTGTCTCACCATTGTTGGTTTTGAAGATGGAGGGAATGTGCCATGAGCGAAGGACAGAGGGTGGCCTCTGGAAGCTGGGGATTGTCCTACATGGCAACCAGAATAGAGGTGGGGCCATCAATATGACAGTCCCAGGAAACCACATTATGCCAACAACTTGAGTGAACAAGGAAAGTGACCTTTCTTTAAAGCCTCCAGACAGAAGCACAGCCCCTACCTATACCTTGAGTGGTGAGACCCATGTTGAACTTCAGATCTACAGAACTATAAGATAATAAGCTTGCATAAGCTGCTAAATTTGTAATGACAGTAATAAAAATACAGATATATTTGAGGTATCTTATTGAAGATATAAATTACTAAGCAGCTGAACATATACGATAGAGGACAATGCATACACAATACTCCCCCAACACACACACATAGCATATTAGTCAAATTAAATCATTCTGTTGTAACAAATCTTCTAATACGTGGCTAAATAAAACCATAACTTGAACAAGAATCACTTAAATTACTGGTGATATAAGTGGTTGATTTGGTAATCTTAAAATTCCCACAGACAGTAAAAGTCACTGAAATTTTCAAGAGTATGGAGTATTATGAAATAAGACCTATTTATATCACTAGATTACATTTTTCTAGTTTCTTAAGCAGTGATTTTAGAGAGAAAAATTAAGTTTTGTGGGAGGTTTCTTTGGGGGAGGGGTTTATTGTGATTGTTAAGTGATTATTGTATCCCTGGCTCATAATGCAGCCATGTATCTTATTTTCTTTAGCAACAGTTTGAGGTACAACTATATAACATTGTATAGCTTCTAAGATTTCCTTCAATTTCTCTGAAGAAAAGTAACATAGAACTATTTAACACAAAGGACACAGTATTTGATAGTGAGAGGTCATAATTTATATTCACTCAAAATTTTCACATTTTATTTGATATGAAGTGATTTTATATGACCCGGAATTTTCAGTTAATATGTTATTATAACATCAACAATTCTCAATTATCATTTGGAGATTGCATTGTAATATTCAAGAAAAACCCTTTGTAGGTACTTGATAGTCTCACTATATCTTTACTCTCATTTGGATTTTGAAGCAGATTTTGTTTTATATCTCATTTTCATTTATTCAAATACTAATTTTACAAATATTTAAGGAGTTTTATATGTGAGGCATTGTACAAAAATGGGGCACTGAGATATTTATTTCTTGTGTAATGCTAAGCAAGATAATTAAATTCCATAAACCACAGTTTTCTCATTTGTAAATTGGGACCAACTATATTTATTAATAACGTTGTGACGATTAAATGAGTTAATATATATTTAAGTGCATTTATGTGAAATTTTATATACAGATGAAAATAAATATGTAAAGTACTTATTAAAACTCTAGAATTTAAGTTGTCACCTAGTAACTTATGTTAAAGCAATTATAAACTTAATGTGATTTTCTTATTTTAGAATTCAAAATGTATTGAAGAAATGATAGAGGAAAATTCAGTATTTTTGTAGTGAGAATTTTCTGAAATAATGTTATTGCTAATGATATTATCAATTCATAAGTTATGCTTATTTTGAATGAAGAATATTAAACTACAATATATTATATTTTTTCATGTCTCTTGATTCATTAACTATTCTCTTCTAGCAGGAAAACTTAACAAAATGCAATGTGAAAAAAGCTTAACAAAATGTGCTTTGTGAATTTTCTTGTTTTTTGTGTTTTTTTTTTATTTCAATTAGGCAACTGACCCTGATGCTGGAATAAATGGCCAAGTGTACTACAGTTTGGGAAACCTCAATCATCTTTTCCGTATCACAGCCAATGGGAGCATTTACACAACAGTGAAGCTTAACAGGGAAGTCAGGGACTACTATGAACTTCTTGTTGTGGCAACTGATGGAGCGGTACACCCTCGTCATTCAACAATAACCCTGGCCATCAAGGTTTTGGATATTGACGATAACAGTCCTGTGTTCACCAACTCAACATATACTGTTGTTGTTGAGGAGAATCTGCCACCTGGGACCACCTTCCTTCAAGTGGAGGTAGGTGTGTAGGAGAAACACTCATTTCATAAGTTTCACATAATAGGATTAGCTATTAGGGTAGGGTTGACAGATTTAGCAAATCAAAAAATAACATATCCAGTTAATTTTTAAATTTTATTTTATTTTTTAATTTTAATTGCAGCTAAACAATGAGTACATTTTAATATAAGTCTCTCTCAAGCACTACATTTTTTTAAAAAAATCTAACAACTCTACTTTTAGGGACACAAAAAAAAATGAGAGAAAATGTGCCTTTATAAAAAATTAAATAAAAAAGCTAAATAGATTTTTCAATTTAAAAATTAATGTTATATATTTATTGTAATAATGAACAATACAGAAGTCTATAAAAAGTCAATTACAATATCTCCCACCTTGTACCTCCAAAGTACTCTGTATTAATTTTCATGTTTATTCTGTCACATTAATTTTCATGCTCACACAAGTATCAAAGATATATATATATGTAAACATAACATGCATGAATTTTTGCATAAATGTTTATACATACATCTATACATATGTAAAGAGTAATCTATATTTTACAGCAATAGGATATTGCTATATTTATTATTTTATAATTTTTAATTTTATTTTTAGTAAACAGCTGACATTCTTCCACAAGTGTTAACTCTCCTATTTAATAGTGTCTCCATCTCCTAACCTCCCTTTTCATTTCTCAACTGCACTATTACTAGAAACTCTGGGCATTCTGATGCAGTGGGTTAAATTGGTTCAGAAATCTGCATTTTAAGCAACTACTCATTTAATTCTGACACAGGTGGTATATGAAGTATATTTTTTAAAACAAAAATTAGACCTCTTTGACTGCAATAGACATGAATTTTGTTAGCATGGATTTTAAAAACTTGTATTTCTTTCATAATCCAACCAAATAGCTATTTAGACAATATACATGATTAACTGACAAAAGAGACATATGCTGGTCATGGAGAGGGCCATTATTTCTTCATGTATTCTTCTATCTATCTCATTCATTCAAGAAGTATAATTTCAACATTTATTTTATATCCACTCCTCTGCTAGCAACTTGGAGGATTCAAACATGAACTGGACAATTTTCTGCATTCATTGAGTTTTTGGTCTTGTAGCAAGGAGACAAATAGACTGCTAATTAAAACAAATGTCCTCAAAGTGAAGGGCTTAGGATAGGGGTCTCGAACTCAATCAGAGAAGGGGCCAAAATCTAAAATCCAGCCTAAATCGCGGGCCGAATGGTTTACTGAACAGTCATAAACTGTCATTGTGATGGAAACCCAGCGGAGTGCAGTGACGACAGCGCGGTGCGGGCCACATTGCAAGGCCTGGCGGGACGGATTTGGCCCGCGGGCCTTGTGTTTGACACATGTGGCTTAGGAGATCACAGGTCGTAGCCTAATCTGTAGGTCAAAGAGAATGTTTCCTGGAGAAAGTTGGTTTTTGAATGGTGAACTGAAGAGTGAGAGTTATTTAAGCAAAGATCAAGAATGATTATTCAAGGCAGTGGAAATAATCTGCTCAAAATCCTGGAGGAGAGAAGAGAATTGGGTCTTAAATGGCTGTAAAATGTGTATGTCCTTCTCACCTTGTTAAGGAGTTGAGAGATGATCCAAAATGAAATGAAAAATAAGTATTTTAGGCAGGGAAGCAAAATAAAATCTTTCTCATTGTTACCAGTATGAACACACTGGTTAAAGGCTGCCAAGACTAGAAGTTCACATAAGAGGTTTTGCATCCCTGCATGCAAAGTCTAACCAACCCTCATCTCCCCAATGCCATTCTTTTTTTTTCTTTTTTAAATATATTTTATTGATTTTTAACAGAGAGGAAGGGAGAGAGATAGAGAGCTAGAAACTTCAATGAGAGAGAAACATCAACCAGCTGCCTCTTGCACACCCCCTACCGGGGATGTGCCCGCAACCAATGTACATGCCCTTGACTGGAATCGAACATGGGACCTTTCAGTCCGCAGACCAATGCTCTACCACTGAGCCAAACCGGCTTCGGCTCCCAATGCCATTCTTGCTCCATTCCATGTCCACTACCAGAGTGGCCTTTGCAAGTCTGTACTACGGAATAAAATAATCATCCCACAAATACTGCATAAAAAGCATCCCTTCAGCTAAAAGATATTCACTCCCAATTCTCAACACCTTTAAGTGACATACCACTTTTTCCTTTGATTTTGGTATTTGTGTCTTATTTTATTTTATTTTATTTTATTTTATTTTATTTTTTTGTACAGTAACCTGGAGGGCAGAAACTGCCTTGATTCATCTTGTACATCTTTAGAGTACCTTCAACATTATAACTACTCAATAAACATTAGTAAAATGATGGGAGTTATAATAGAGTGATCTCTAGAAATGTATTATAGGATATTTACAAAATGAAATTATTACTTATATTTTTCAGTTTTTATGTGTTTATGGAAATCACTCAATAAATTTATTTGTTTTTTGGTAATCCTCATGAAAGGATATTTTTTCCATTGATTTTCAGAGGAAATGGAAGGGGGAAAGTGGCGGGGGGCGGGGGAGGGCTGGAGAAAGAGAGAGATAGACAGACAGACAGACAGACACGGGTATTAGACACATTGAGTAGTTGTCTCCCGCAAGTGCTCTGACTAGGGCAGGGATCAAACCTGCAACCCAGTCACATGCCCTTGACCAGGAATAGAACCTGTGACCCCTTAATCCATGGGCCAACCCTCCAACCACTGAGCCACACTAGTTAAGGCTCAATAAATTTATTTTTGTTTAAAATATTCCTTTTCAAGGTCATATGGTCAGTAAGAAATAATCTATGACAATTCTTATTTCTTTATTGTGGTATGATTTTTTTTTAATAGTGATTTTTTTTCAGGTAAAATAGATTTAGTAATAAAATCCACAAGGACAAAAATCCCATGTCTCGGTCTCTATTTCTCTCCTCTTCTCTCTTTCTGGTAAAATACTTAACAAATGTGCTTTTCTCTGAAACATGACTTTTGTTCAGCATTAAACTTGTTCTGTCCTAAGCACTGACACATGACTTCATCAGTCTTTCATTTTTCTAGGTTGGTAATGCTACTGATATAACCGTTCTTCTTGTTACAGGCCACAGATGTTGACCTTGGAGCAAACGTGTCTTATCGGATAGGAAGCCCAGAAGTGAAGCATCTTTTTGCAATTCATCCATTTACAGGAGTACTCTCCCTTTTGACGAGTTTGGACTATGAGTCATTTCCAGACCAGGAAGCAAGTATTACTTTCCTAGTAGAGGCCTTTGACATTTACGGAACAATGCCTCCTGGTATTGCTACTGTCACAGTGATAGTAAAGGTAAGGAATGCAGGTGACTTCTGGTTGCCTACTTTGCACTCTCTACATGTAGCTTCTGTTTTTATACAATAATTATAATACTTAGTTCAACAATTCATAATAACAAATTGATAGCAGACCCAGAACATAGATTTTTTTAATTGATAAATATTTATGAAGACTTGAGAAGCAACTATATTTTTTAAGAGATAAATTCAAAGGAAACACTAAAAGATTAATTCAAACACGTGGCTGCCTTAGTCTGCTATTAGCACTGTGATTTCAATCAAGCCATAATTTCGCCATCCTACACTTTAGTGCAAATTTCACAGCAGTAGAGATAATAACTTTATCCAAATCCTTCAGTTTTAAAAGAAAAAAATCTTTAATAAGATGACTCTGAATGATTAAGCCTACTAAGCCTCCAGAACTAAGTAGTTTAGTTTAGTTTAGTTTAGTTTAGTTTAGTTTAGAACCCAAGATTCTGGAATGAAATAAGCTTTGAGATCAGATCAAATTGGAATTAAGTTCTGGTTTAACTATTTCAGGTTCTCCAATTTACGGGACTTTCTTGACTTAAGTTTGTTATCTCACTCATTAGAATACCCTGTGCCAAACAATTGCCTGAGAAAGCATGGTGTCTTCAGCCTTTGGATTTCCAGTCATAGTTCTCAAGTATATGTAAAGGTTACCTGAGCTGCAAACTAAACTTTCAGATTTCTCTGCTCTTTCCCAAAGGAGCATCTTCCCTATGGGGAAAGCATTACAAATGCACTTCCACTGTTGCATTTCTGCTAGAGTACAAGAAAGTCAGGTTCTGGGGATGACTTCAAGTCTTGAAAGGTGCTTTCAGTCAAGTACTCTGTACACACAAGGTTATAAGGTACACAAGGTAATAGGAAACTTTTCCACAATGCTCATTTTCATAGTGTAAATGATGGAATTAAAAATGCATGGCTTTCATTGAGATTTTATTTGATGGTTAACTAATAAAACCTAAAATACTATTGGTTTTGTTAGAAAATACCAATAGCCTACCTAATAAAAGAGTAATATACAAATTAACCTTTTACTCTGCCACACCCACCAACCACACCCACCATCCAATCATAGTGAGTATGCATATTAACCCCAACAAAGATGGCTGCTGCCACAAGAGTAGTAGGAAGGCTTGGGTTTCCCCTGCAACGGAGGAAGCCAACTTTCCACCTGACCTTGCCAGCCTAGGAATTCACACAAGGATACAAAGTGTCAATTATAGAAGGTAAACAAACCCCAACAAAAATGGCTACTGCCAGGGAGCAAGCAAAAGGCTTGGCTTGGCTCCAGGCTACAAAGTTTTCATTGTAGAAGATAAATATATCCCAGATACCAGGGCCTCCACTTGGGTCATCAGAGGGCATGGCCGGCCTGCAAACCACCACAGATCCCAAGCCCAGGGTGCCCCATGACCCAAGGAAACCCCCACCCTGACCCGGGACACTCTTTACAGCAAACCAGCTGGACCCCTCCCATCCACCAGGCCTCTATCCTACCTAATTAAAGAGTAATATGCAGATTGACCATCACTCCAATACACAAGATCAAGATAGCTGCCCCCATGTGGTCAAAGACCCTACCCCCATGTGGACACAAGGTGGCTACCACAGATGGCCAGCAGGGAAGGGCAGTTTGGGGTGATAAAGGATAGTTAGGGGTGACCAGGCCAGCAGATGATGGATGTTGGGGGTAAACAGGCTGGCAGGGAGCAGTTAGACTCAATCAGTCTGGCAAGGCAGTAGTTAGGAGATGGTCAGGCTGGCAGGCAGAAGTAGTTAGGGGCAATCAGGAAGGCAGGCAGGTGAGCTGTTGGGAGCCAGCAGTCCTGGATTGTGATAAATGGGCAATGATACATCCCTCAAGGGGCCCCAGATTGGAGAGGGTGCAGGTTGGGCTGAGGGACAGCCACCTCCCTCCCCCATGCATGAATTCCATGCACCAGGCCTCTAGTGAGAACATAGAGGATGGTTAAAGACTTCACCAATCTATAGTTAGCATAAATCTCTTGTAGGTAAATGCTTTAATACTTGACTGCAAGGTCTTTGGGTTTGTTTGTGTATGTCTTTGTGTGGTTGGTTTGGTTTTATTTGCAAAAATCCTGCAGTTGGAGAGGGAAACAGGAATTATTCCACTGCCTTTTCTGATTGAGGTTTATCTGCCAGTACCCACCTGAGGCTATTTCTTCCATCAAGTCCTACTGTCTCCTCTAAACTACCCTGGAAAGGGGAGCATAAGTCCCTTCCATTCTCAGATGCCTTAGAGCTGTCTGGAGAGTTCTATGAGGGTCTGGATTTCTTTTTTCTTAGGGATCCACAATGACTCTGTGCCTATAGCCATAGTGTGCCTCTATATCCTAAGAAATTTATCTATTTCAGGGAGTTAAATTTTTATTCAGCCTTGAGTCCTCTTTGTGAATCAGAATTTGAACTGTCAAAATCATTTCTTGGTTACCTGCTTTCCCCTTTGTGTCTCCACCTTTCTCCTGAAACAATGATTTTTAAGTGCTCTGGTAGCTTAAGGAAGGATGGAGAGACAGCACAAAGCCACCAAAGGCCTGAGGGCCTTCAACTCATATTTTGAAATACTATGTTGCCGCACTATTGTGGTATGACACTTAGAAATTTAGAAATAGTTTTCCAAGAACATATTAAGAACATAATATTAGTGGTTAGGAAGATGTCATGATAGATAAAGAAAATAAAAAAAAAGACTAAGATAAGTCTGACTTACATTAACTAACCATAGCAAAATGACTTCCAGAGCAGGTGAAAATTTTAAATCATCTTACCCTGGTCTGCTCTTGTTTATCCATGTGGCTTGTTGGAATTTAACATTAAAAACAATTAAAATAGAATAAAAAGGACAATGTTAGACAATTTGGGGCAATAAGGGAAGAAAAGACTTGTTTCTAATGACCTTCCCTCTATTCTTCCTTCATCCAAAAAAGGATACTCGAATAGTGTAGCCTTTTCTCCTGGATGAATGTGGTGGATAGTAGAACATTATAACCTTCATGAACTCTAATATGGCTGCTTAAATTTTTCCTCTTTGGCTTGGACATTTTTTTTTTTTTTACAGATGTCAATGGAGTCAAATTGAATCAAAACAGATAAAGTAAATAAGCAAGATTGTTCTAAATAAACATCATTCTTTATCTGAGCTCAAGGCTTAAATTTCATTCCCTGTTGCCTGAGCACCCTTTATTGTAATAGAGGGATGCCACTCAATGCTTCTTATCATTTACCTTATTTAGAGAAGTATTAATAAAACCAATGTATTTCAGATTTATTATACATTTTTAAAAAATCTTATTCAAGATTTAACTCTAGATATTTTCAATGCCACTTTTTTTCAAGTGATATAAGCATAAAATATTTGTGGAATATTTTCCCAGAGACAGACTGACACTTGCTTTCTTTTCTCCTTATTGAAATAAGACATTAAGAATGTACATCTCAGGTAAACATTGCTATTTGAATTTTAACACTGCTAAGTCTGGCTCCTGACTGATGAAGCACAGAATGTTTACCTCAGCTTCCAGGTGAAGACCTGGAGGCTAAGGCAGTTTTCCCTTGCCTGGGACCAGGACCACAGGAGATAGAAACTGTAGATAACCTTAGAGATAGAAACTGTAGATAACCTCTGAGCTCTGCTTCTGTGTTATCAGCTATCTCAAGATAGGGCCACATTCCAATGTCCAGCAGGATGTGACTGGGAAGGACCTTTGGAGCTAACCACAGTCTTTAGAATGTAGTCTTTAGGATTTAGAATTTAAAACAGAGGAACATTCCTGTGGTTTGAACCTTTAAAAGGGATTGCCTACCCCTGAAGCAGTGCAGTCCTGTGGAGTCCACCTGCGTGTGGTGCTCTTGCGGCTGTCCTGGCCAGTTATTTTAATAAATCCTTGCCTGCTTTTTTAATCAATCATCAGCCTCCGGTGGTCTTATTTTGAACCCAGGGTTGGACCCCACAACACTTATCACTAAGGGTGAAAGAGAACTTTCAAAGTCTCTTGTCTTCTATCTATCATACTTGTTTGTTTTGAAAAGAAAACGGAATAGAATTTTGTCTCTCCACTTATGTAGATCTTTTCTAAGCTTGCAAATTTCCTGCTATTGGTTTGTTTCCTTGCAGTACTGACAAGCTGCTTTGCTGATAACATAATTACATGGTATTTGCTAAGAGATATTTCTACTCAAAACAGACACCACAGGGGAAGCATCTTGAAGACCTCTCTTTGAAAATGAGTGGAAATATAATTTGTTTTGTAAACAAGAAAAAAGAAATATCTAGAGTTTTATAACTAGTTGATCAAATTCATTTAAAACTGGAGTGAGAATAGGGAAATTAAAGTGACATTCAGAAGGAAAAATATTTCCACAATAGTAAGAAAATAGAATTATATGACAGACACCTGCAAAGAGTTCTCTTGGTCCCACGTTTTAAGGACCCAAAACAAAACCAATTATTATCATAAAAATTAATATGGATTTTTATTGCAAAGTATTTTTTTAGAACATTGATAAAACAAGACCTATTTCATTGCACATTTAATGATAGAAAATTAGATGATATGGATGAATCTTTGGAAAATACAAATAACATAAAATTCAGAGAAAAATCTTACCTTATACATAGAATTCTAATATACAACAGAAAATGCATGTAAAGAAAAGCTCTGTTTTTTTGTGGTATGACAAAAGCTGACTATGGGCCAGAACAGTTTAAATATATCAATGGATATACAATACTTGGCAGCATTGAAAGGGTTGAAAAATAAAAAGACAATTTAAGTCATTTTGCTGATGGTAATTTTAGATAGAATGGCTGCACAGTAGTAGGAGAGTGAGGGAGATAGGGTTAATAGGAGCAGGAATAGTAGGAGGGGGCAGGAATTGGTGGAAAGATAGAAAATGGAAGACTATCCATTAGAGCCAAAGTTTTTGGAAATACAATGTATCTTAAAAGATGAAGTTAGTATTTTCATCTTTCAAAGGGGTTTCCTACTCCCGGTAGAAAATAAATGATTCTATGTCCCGCCCCCTCCCCGGCGCCCCCACCCCCACCCCGGAAAAAAATATAGAAAATAGGCTTTTCTAGCTTTCCTATAGAAATTCAGTATCCAGCATCAAGGTATCATTTACCAAACCCTGGACACACGGCAGGCATTGATGTGCTGCTGATGCTCCATGGTGACAGTATTGGTAGTGTCCTAGTTTGGGTTCGGTCAGAGGAGTTATGGTATGAGAGTCTAGGACTCAAAAAATACCATAGGAAATTCTGGACATTTTAAGATTTACAGCATATTTCCTTCCCTTCCACTGGAAAGGGAAGAGTGAATTAAAGATGATTTCAATGAACCAGCTAATGGGAGTATGTTTTAACAGAGTAATCATTAGTTTTTACAACTTGGAGTTCATTTTTCCTTTGGAGTTGGTTGATGTTTTTTCCCTTAGAATTGGTTGACCTAGAGATATACTTGTTTGGGAGTATAGTCATCAAATGTTCCCCTGTGTTCTATTTTTCACTGTTATATTCTTGTTTAGTGTATTTTTTTTCTAATATTACCCAGGAAGTTTAAAAAATGTGAATACACCAGGGAGGACATGCCATGGGCTGAGTCAGATAGTTTTATAAAGTATCTGAATACTCTGGTGTTCTAGAATTTCACAACTAAGATGTGAGATATCACCTCTAAAGAACCAAACAAGGGAAAGCAAGTAAAATTGCCTATGCCCAGAGATTTTTACCCTTCAAGGATTATCATATTTCCCCCACCTGAGAAGGCTTAGTACCGCCACAAGTTCCAAAATTGAATGTCCTCCTAATGGGGACAATGGATGCTAATAAGCTTTACTGGTTACTGCTAAGCATAGCCATTATTTCTCAACCCCACCATTGTTTGTGGCTGCTATCTTCATCCTGTTGGATTGGCCACCACATGTGGGGAGAATGCTTGATATATTGGAATCTTCCACATATAACTCTCTTTTTACCAAAAAAAAGCTTTATGAATAGTTATTATAACAATTATCTTCAGGGAAATAAATTAGCATTATACAATGTTTAGAAGTTCACCAGGTTGCCAAGATTAAAGTATAGTAACTAGTGGAAGAATTTTTTAAATGTAAAATATTATTGGAAAGAGATATCTTAAAAGTTACGTGTGAGTTTTTAAAATTGAAAATCATATTTAAGTCATCTTACGTATAATCTCCTGATGACTTTGCCATTTCTCTTTCTCCTTGCCTCCACATATCAGAATGAGGCTTTTAGGATCTGATATAATAGAATTAAATCATAACTGTATCCTTTGTTGCAGGATAACAGTGAACAATTAATCTCTGTAAGCTTCAGTTTTCTTATATGTAAAACATGAATAATAGTAATAATAATAACTAAAATATTTTAGGAAAGTTAATTGAAATGATACATTTCATACACTAAGCATTTGCCTGGTATACAGACACATGCTCACACACGTAACTATTAAGCACTTTTGAGAAAGACTAAAATGGGGTGATATTATTAGAATCTGCTCATAGACTTGAGTTCAGAATATACACTCATTGTCTCAATTTACCATGATAACCATGGCTTAGAAAAATTCCAAAAACATATCACCTCCTTCCCCCCCCCCCGCCCCCATGTTACCACTGCAACAGAGGGAACTAGAAAGCAATAGAATTATGTATTAAATCACTGGGTTTGTCAACACTGCACAGCGTTATCCTCCTCTAATTTAGCTATTGATTTGGAAAGGCTATTTCACCTGCCAGAATGCGTGAGCGATGGTGAATTTGTTCAGATCACAGAAACGTATCCTATGTTAAATGTAGCTAATTAAACTTCATGCTGTAAACTCTCATCATAGCCTTGTACTGTCTCTTTCATAACATGCATCATCCTTGACATTATGTACTTAGTTTTGCTTGCCACACTAGTTATTGGTCAGATAAAAAATATAACCACAGAAAGCAAATATTAAGGGTTTTGGACAAATTGTTGAGGATAAAATTGACAAAAGAACAGAAAAGGAAATGTTTCTTTTTGCCAATACTACCCTCTAGTGGAGTAATGGCTAACAGAAAGGGGCTTGTTTTTGGAGAGTGAACTTTATCCTTAATTTGAGGCATAATAGAACATTTGTACAGAAGCAAGTCATGTGTACATTTTTCTTCAGATATCCCTGGAGCATAAATATACCCAACGAATGATTATGCCAATGGCATTACATTTCAATAAATGTTATCATTTGAAGTAATGCATGGTGCAAGAACTATGGGCAACTGGCTGTACATTTTAGCCACAATAAAATATTGTAATCTCAAAATGTGTGCAGTGTACCATAAGAAGAAGTAATGCTATAATAATTATATTGATTTATTCTTCATCCTGTCAATAGCAAGCAACATAAAATTAGGGACATTAATGTTTCAGCAGTTTTCAGTTATCTACAGCCTTAGATTTGCATCAAATCAGTTGGTGAGGCCAGATTATAAAATGACCACCATGCATTCAGTTAGAAGGCAAATCTAGTGGATACTTTCTCAGCAAATTTAGGCCACTGTAGTCAACACTCTTGGCAGTTGTGTGGACATAATTAGAAAAATATTGTGTCTTCTTTTTACTTTCTGAAGAATCAAGTTATCCAAAAAGTGCCTTGTCACATTAAGGTTCCTGATGCCCCCTGTGGGTGGAGGAGAAGGAACTTTTTAAGAGCATATTGAGTTTATATGACTTTGGGTGCAGAACCATTACAACGAGTGAATACTATATGTCAAACAGAGAAAATAATTTTCCTTCCAGTTTTACACGAATTTCAAGACCTCCTGTTTCTTTTTGGAGTCTGCAGGTTTCTTTATATTCACAACTTAGAAGTCAACTCTATGGTGAACATAAAACAAGCTCTACTTGATTGTAATAGATAATTATTTTGACCTCTTTGAGAAGAGGTGTTTATAATCAGTTAATTAGGGTGCTCGCCATTGACATTGTACATGAAAACTGTTGTCACAGAGAAAATATCAAAGACTATGTAGAATAATTTTCTTCTTGTGTTTCTAATAACAAGTGAGGAAAAAAGATGACCTGGAGAGCAAGGTAATTAACAGATGTAGCTTCAGGCTCAAATATGTTTGACACAAATTACCCAAAAAGAATGCGGGGCATAATGATTATTTTAAAATAAATAAGTTTATGAAATTTAAATTAGCTAATTTAATAAGCATTGCTTTTGAGAAAAATAATAAAATGCAATTTCCCCTAAAGGATAAAAGGCATGAGAGAAAAATGGTCTTACTCTCAGGGGACCAGATTGATCAAGTTAGCTCTGCCAACTAAGTCAAGTCATTAACCTATCTGGTAGGATTAGTATCTTTACCTGTCAAATGACAGTAAAGTGACATGAAGACAGAGGCACCTTTTGCTTGAGTCACCACAGTATCCACAGTGCTTAGTACTCGGGCATAAAAATGGTAGGAACTTGATAAATCATTGTTTAATGGCTGACACTGCATAGTTACTTATATCACTGAGTTATGAAAGTAAAAATGATAAATATCAAATACTTAGAAAAATACTTAATGATCATTGTTTTTCATGTATAAGAACATCTAGTCCTATTTGTCTTTATCGTGGTGAACTATAGGGAAAACATTCTTTAATCATTTTCAAGTTGTATATATGTAAGATGGCATCAAAGGAAGTCTCATTCTTTGCATTTGAAATGTTCTAGTCATGCCATTGTGCTAAGTACCCGATATATAAAGAATTTGAAGTTGGAACAGAAACATTGGAGTGCTTTTGAAAATAGTAACAACAAAGCAAAACATAAAAACACCATCTTCTTTACTTGCTCATTGGATGGCACTTTTTATATAATGTGTTTTTTCATTATTTCCAAAGTTCAATAACACATCATTTCAATACGAGTATCTTTAGAGAGCATTTCAAACATTACTCCGGTCTCTAAAAGGTGTATTTGGGTTGCAGGTGGGGGTGGGGGTGATGGAATGTTTTCTCCAGCGGAATGGCCTTCGTGATATACTATATATGATATACTATATATCATAATGTATAGGCACACTGGCAGTCTCCTCTGGGGCACCATTCTGAAGTGGGAGTAATGGAACTGAGAGGACTGAGAATGACAGTGGCAAATGAGTTGTATGGTATGAAGAGATGGAGCCGGTCAAGTAACTGGGGTACCTAACCTAGTTTCAATCCAAGCACTAAACCTCTTTTAATATATTTTATTGATTTTTTACAGAGAGGAAGGGAGAAATATATAGAGCTAGAAACGTCCATGAGAGAGAAACATCGACCAGCTGCCTCTTGCACTCCCCCTACTGGGGATGTGCCTGCAACTCAGGTACATGCCCCTGACCGGAATCGAACCTCCAAGCACTAACCTCTTAATTGTGTTTTCCAGGACATGAATGACTACCCTCCAGTGTTTAGTAAACGCATGTACAAAGGGATTGTGGCTCCAGATGCTGCCAAGGGTACACCAATCACGAGTGTTTATGCTGAAGATGCAGACCCTCCTGTAAGTAAGAGACGTTGACCCATATTCTGTAGTGAGGAAACCTTTAACACTGGGCAGTGAATGGCCCAGCTCCCCAGGCAGCACGTGTTTATGTGTTTTGTCCTGTTCACTCACCCATTTGATGTGCTCTCGCCTGTTCCATCCTCGGGCACAGACCATATATCAAACGATTATTGTTAAAGTTAGACAATTAGGGATATGCTTTCTGTTTCACTAGAATTCAAAATTTACTATTACCAATGTATCTAGTACTAATGATAAAAATATATGGGTAGAGACATAATTGTCTACATAAGCAGCCTGTATAATTTGGACTCTTGATTGAGAAAAGTATAAGTTTAAGTTTAATGAAGATAGATTTTATCCTTATATGTTTTCCATTTTATTCATGCATAATTATTTTGTTACCAACTCTAAATCAACATATGATTTAATACTCATTAAATATGTAAAAATTTTTGACCAAACGATGAAGATGAATTTATTTGTTTGTTTGTTTATTTTACTTAAGTGAACTCACATTCTTAAGTCAGTGGCTGATATATTATAAAAATATTAAAGGTATTGAATAACACATTTTAGAAAAGTGAAAAAAACATATAGAAAAGCTGAATTTTATAAGAGATTTTAAAGTTCTGTTTCATAGTCCTAATATAAATAGTACTTACGTAATGCTATTTATCTAATAAAGGTGAATAGCAGTCATTTCAGTTTTTAGCTTCAATTGTGACATCATAAAAGGTCTTGAAAATAGTAATGCTAAGGTGAAAGCAGTGAACTTGCACTCAGAAGCTTCTTTCTTTGGGTATGCTATGATGTCTGAAACATTTATTATATCTCGGGAATATGCTAGACAAAATGGCATAGTCTTTTTTTAATTGAATTTATTGAGGTGTCATTGTTTAATAATATCATATAGGTCTCAGGTATGCAGTTCTGCAACACATCATCTACATCACCACTTATCCTCCCTTGACTTTCTTCTATCTTCACCCTCCCACCCCGCCTTTCTCTCTGGCCATCACCTTGCTGTTGCCTGTGTCTATGGGTCTTTCATTTTTCTTTTTTGTTTAATCCTTTTACTTTCACATCCAGCCCCCAGCCCCCTTCCCTTTGACAGCTGTCAATCTGTCCCCTGCATCCATGAGTTTGTCTTCACTTTGTTAGTTTATGTTGTTCATTGGATTCCGCATATAAATGAAATCATAGTCAAACACACTCATAGAGATGGTAAATGTGAAGTAGGTGGTTTGTCTGCATTTTAAGTAAACTTCTCGGAGAGTTTCAAATGAAGAATATCCATTCAGTTCTATTCAAGAAATGCTTTGGACACCAATTCCGTGATGGTCATTGTGCAAACCAGTGTTTGCTCTCCAGAAACTGATTCCAAACTGACAGAGATAAAGGAATTGCATATAGAAACTGTAACACACACAGACTAGATAGTGTAATGAAACACAGCATCTTAGCAAATTCAGATTTCAGAGAAATTTTCACCAGTGCAGAATTTAAGATAATATTGAGGTTAGTGACATAAATGATGAAAGACTAAAAGTAAGCCTGCTAGTCACCTATGTGGGGCAGACCTCAAAGATGGCAAAATCCTCACTTTGCCTTTGTCACCTGTGACCTTGTTACCTAGTTTGACATTCAGGTCACTGTACTGATGTGAGAGAAATTGTCTGAGTCTAGTGGTTGGCAAACTTTGGCTCACAAGCCACATGCAGCTATTTGGTCCCTTGAATTTTTAGCAAAGGCCAGCTTAGGAATACCCTAATTAAGTTAATAACAATGTACCTACCTATATAGTTTAAGTTTAAAAAATGTGGCTCTCAAAAGAAATTTTAATTGTTGTACTGTTGACTAAATGAGTTTGCCGACCACTGTCTTAGTCCATTGTACATTTTATAAAGCTATAGTACTTATTTAGAGAGAAAACCCTGTTTTTATACCCTGCCTCTCTCATGGAAATTTAGCAGGCTCAAATTCTGTATTTCTTTGAAAGTTCTTAGGTTGGCATTCCCAGTAGTTTTTAACATTTGATAATATTCCTGGCTTTTTAGTAGATGAACGGTAGATGCCAGTCTTTCAGTTGGAATGCTGAGCACAACTTATTTCAGTTAGTGAGCATGTCTGATATCAAACTCAGTTTTAATTCTTGAAACACTAGCAATCTTTTGGTATAACCAATATTCAACCTGAGTTCTCCAATTATTGCTTCAAATTGGGCCCCTTCAATAAACATAGTTCCAATTTGGCTGCACCTACACTAATTAGAAATAAAAGCTCAATTCCATGAAAATTTTCAGGAAAAAAAATATTACTTTACACAATCTTCAAAAATATTATGATCACATTTTACTTCTGTTATTTTATGTTGGTGTCTTAAATACAGACTAAATATTTGGTGGATGAACTTCAGTGTTTTCTACTCTGTTCCTATTATAAACAGAGTATATTAATTGCAAGATAGTTTCAATTTCATACCCTTCCCATCTCCTGTCAGTCTGCAAGTTGGGGCTATAAATATCTATGGGAACACTATCTTATCTAATAAAGAGGGAATTTGCAAATTGACCATCATACCATAACAAGATGGCTGAACCCACAGAAGAGGCCGAGTTCCTGTAAGGAGCCTTAATGAGCAATCAGCAGGGATCTGAGGCTGAGTAGTGGTAGGCTGGTGGAGGGGCCTCCCTCAGGCTTGCCCCCAGCCCTGGCACCAGTCTGGGGGACCTCAGGCTGCACCCCTGATCCAGCAGAGCTTAATGGGGTATCTCAAGGCATGCAGCCCAGCCTGGGACAGGGGAATGTCAGGCTGTGCCCCCGCCCCAGCACCAGGCCAGACGACCTGAGGCTGTCTCCACCCACCCAGTGGGGCTTGACAGGAGTAGGGCCAGCTGGGTCTGGATCTAGCCCAGTGGAGGTGGGGTCAGTAGAATCTGGGTCTTGAATGATTTTGAGGGTCATGTGGGTATGTGGGATCTTAACTCTGGTTCCCATGGTGCACCCCAGACTCTGACAAGAGGAAGTTTTTCATATACATTTTACCTATTTTCTTTCATCTCTGACATTTCTATTATAGAGAAGGGCAAATAGCAATATTAAAATATTTGCTCTAATTAATTCCCCTTTAATGTGCACAAATTTCGTGCACTGGTCACTAGTGTTTACACAAAGGTCTCCTTTTCAAACTAGAAAGTAATGACCTGTAGAATGGGAATCATAACTTATTCGAGTTTATATTCCCACATCTAACTCTATGCTTGGTATTTAATGCCCTGTTAGAAAAATTGGTTGAATAATTTAAATAAACAGATATTCAAGACATCTTGCTTCTTTTGAATGACGTGAGAACCATCCATTTTAAACTAGAAAATAGCAATAGCAAAATCTTCTGAAATATCAGATGGAGAAACTGGGTAAGGTCTTAGAGCCAGAGAGAGCATTGTTGCTGAATATAAATTAAAAATTATAAAATGCGTGTTGTGCAAAACTGAAGTGCTCTGAAAGGAGGGGAAAAAATCTTCAAGGGAGTTTTTTTTTCTTCTTTTTTTTCTTCTTCCCATTGAATTAAAGCTGTTAGGACTTTGATTTTCTGCCTTGATTTTGTTACAGCATTGATGTGAATAGTGGATGACTAATCATTTTGGATATTTAAAATTGCTAACTTTTCCTTTCTGCTCACCAGAGAAGTCTCACTCCAAATGTTCACAAAACATAAAACTGCAAGTGCAATTTCCATTTGCATGTACTTATTCTTTCTGAAGCTACCTCTCACACTGCAGGGTACAAAAGTTCTCTTTGTGGGCCAGGGAATGCCCGACACAATCATGTCCTTTGTGAGCATGTGGGAAGGAAAAATTGGGATAAATGAATGAAATTTACATTTGTTCATCTCCAAGAAAATCTGAGGCACCTACAAGTATTACCTTTTCATTTTCATAACATTATTTTTCCTTTGCACATTTTAGGAATTCATAAGATTCTTGTTTAAAGTAAAGCAGTAATTGAAACATGTTTAATATTAGCAATTTAAACAAACTCTCATATTTGCTTGTATTGGTGTAGGAATTATTTAGACATTGAAGACTCCATTTTTATTTTTTATATTGATTTATGAATTAAATACATTTCATGAAAAAGATCTTATATGTTCTCACTCAATAGTAATTGGCTGAAAAATCAATAAGTATTCTCACTATACTTCCCCCCCACACACCCTGAGGATTTCTCTAAAAGGAAAATAATTGCAGTATGAGGCGTTTCCCCCCCCCCTTTTGGAGATTCTGAGAGCTATACTAGTCCTCAGAGTTCAGACAAACTACCAGAGGAATTATTGTTAAAGTATTTTCACAGGTGGCTTTTAACACTCTCCTCACTCACTCAAGGGCACTTTTGTTGATCTCTAGAGAGTGAAAAACATGGTCAGGTTTTTCTTTTATGATTCATACCTTGTGTTTTATTAAAATGTCATGTCATCACCAAATAATGGCAGATAATTATGGTGCTCAAAGTGCTTAACCTTTAAATAGTTATTCTGATTCAATCCATTACTAGATGGCATCACAGTAAAATGAAAGCAACGACGAAGCATCTTTATCCATGATTTACTGCTTGCTTTTTGTGCAATAGTTAAAATTATACAGATCCAGGAGTGTTATAAGATTGTATTTTTATCTCTAGATAATATAAGCGGTCCTTTATCATTTCTGAATGACATCTCCACAGTTCTATTTTTTCACCACTTGCCACATACTGACTTGTGTTGCTACGCTGTATTGATTTAGGTGATTGCTAGCAATGTTGCGAAAACTTTGGTTTTAAACATCATTGCCTACAAGGCAAATTGCTGACCCAGGAGCATGTGGGGGTATATACTCAGCACAGTGGTTTTTTTGTTTATTTGTTTGTTTGTTTTCCTCACATCAAAGGTGTTAAGGAAGTAATCAAGAACTATTTTCATGATGCATGTCAGTTCGTGCAAATTGAGAAGCTAT